ACTCGGTGTGGCTGGGTTCTTGGCAGAGCTGAGTCCTGATGGAGTGGGTGGAGGCAGACACACGGGGTTCTGGTGCAGAAACGGTACTACTGCCTTTCTCCCAGGTACCAGCACCTGCAGATCAACAAGAAGATGACCAACGAGGTAGCCATCTTGCAGCACTTGCCTGAGCGCCTGCGGGCAGAGGTGGCTGTGTCTGTCCACCTGTCTACCCTGAGCCGAGTCCAGATCTTCCAGAACTGTGAAGCCAGCCTGCTGGAAGAGCTGGTGCTGAAGCTCCAGCCCCAGACCTACTCACCAGGAGAATATGTGTGCCGCAAAGGGGACATTGGCCGAGAGATGTACATCATCCGGGAGGGCCAGCTGGCTGTGGTGGCGGACGATGGTGTCACACAGTATGCTGTGCTTGGTGCGGGGCTCTACTTTGGGGAGATCAGTATCATCAACATCAAAGGTGAGTCCTCAAGAGGAAGTGCTAGGGACAGGGCTGAGCAGGGGAATGGGAATGGCAGAACCCTAAGACAAGATGGTACTTCGGGGTACATAGATTTAAAAGATCTGGCCATTGTCTGAGTCCTCCTACAGGACTCAGGAGAGAAGTAGGATATAGATTATGTGTTCCCCGAGGAAGAGCTGAGCCAGGGTCAGTGGGTGGGGTGGAGTCTTAGAACACAAAGCAGATGTGTTCCATGGGCACGGGTGGAAGTGCCAACAGACCATCTGAAAGTTACTGCGGCAGTCATGTTGTTATGTCACTACCCCATTAAATATCTATCAAGGCAGGTTAATGATAAGCACAGGGCTTGGTCACCAGCACATTACTAAATGAAAGAATGAAACAGAAAAAGAGGTTCAGAAGCACCAATATGGGGGTTATATCCTGGTTTAGGAGTGAAATGTCACCTTCCTGTCCCTAGTAACTACTCTCCCCACATCTGCCCTTGGACCACAGGGAACATGTCTGGAAACCGACGAACAGCCAACATCAAGAGCCTAGGTTATTCGGACCTATTCTGCCTCAGCAAGGAGGATCTGCGGGAGGTATTGAGTGAGTATCCACAGGCCCAGGCCGTCATGGAGGAGAAGGGCCGTGAGATCCTGCTCAAAATGAATAAGTTGGACGTGAATGCTGAGGCAGCTGAGATCGCCCTCCAGGAGGCCACAGAGTCTCGGCTCAAAGGCCTTGACCAGCAGCTGGATGATCTACAGACCAAGTTTGCTCGCCTACTAGCTGAGCTGGAGTCCAGCGCACTGAAGATCGCTTACCGAATCGAAAGGCTGGAGTGGCAGACCAGAGAGTGGCCAATGCCAGAGGACCTGGCTGAGGCTGATGATGAGGCTGAGCCTGGGGAAGGAACTTCCAAGGATGGAGAGGGAAAGCCTGGCCAGGAGGGACCCTCAACCATATAGAATGACCCCATCCTGACCCCAGGACTCCCAGCTCTAAGTGAATCCAGAATGGTAGGAAAGCTTGCCTACAGAAACTGTCAACCTATTTGTTAGGTCACAGAGACTTAGGTAAATTGGCCTATAGATGCATAGCTAGAGATGTGGGTTATAGCATACATTTGGCCCACACTCACCAGAACATACACACACACACACACACACCACACCACACCACACCACACCACACCACACCACACAACGCACTGGCTCAAGACTGTGAGTTCCACAAAAAATGTTCCTGTCTTCTGCGCACATGCACATTCTCACAAGCGAAGCTATGACTTGTACCCACTTAACCCACAATCACGGAGAATGATGAATGCACTGGGGGTGTTGGGGTAACCTTGCTACATTTAAAGGAGGCTTTGGTATAGGACAAGTACAGTGTTGGAGCTACAGGGAAAGAAGTCTGATATAATGTCTGAACTATGGTCACTCTAAGTCACCACTTCAGCTGCATCAGGGCATGGGCAGACTTCAGGTCTGAGCTGTGCCAGGTGGTGTTGTAAAATGAACCTGATGTGTAACTTAGGGATATAACTGAAGGGTAAGTGTCATTATCTGGAGAGATTAAGAGGGTTATTGCACTTTAAAACATTTTAAAATACGTAATTATTTTGTGATGTATTAATAAAATGTAAGGTTCATAGATTGGCACTGGGTTTATCTCATTCTTCTCTATGTTGCCAGAGCTCAAACTGCCTGGTACATAGTAGGTACACACATATATATTTAATAACCAGAGTGAGGAGACCCTAAACATAGAAGCCCAGTGATGGAAGAAGATAAAAGCCAGTTCTCAAGAGCCTTTTCTACCATCTCTGCCTCAAGTCATATTGAACTAGAGTGGGTAGGTAAGATGTAAATGGTTTCATCACATACCTGATGGACTTAGGGAGAGGAAAATAAGCTTATGGTTGGTACAGTGGGATACACACACTTGACCCCATTGTGGGCTCTGTCAGAATGGGTGACTCTTGCCACACATAGAATCCTCATCTATAGCAACACAAGCACAGTGATAATGGACCAGCTTCAACCCTCTGGATGCAGGACAGTAAAGTTTCAAGGCCAGATGTGCATCTTCTTCTGCCTCTGTTCTTCTAGGATGAGGGGTGTGGTGTCACCATGTGGGGTCCTCTAGAGGTGGAGCAGTTCCCACCACTGTGTTGAAAACAGTGCTTTCACAGTTTGGGATTGTGCTGGGTAGAGGCAGCTTAGAACACAAATTTAACACAAAATAAAAGTCGATTGTTTAAGTCTAAAAACCTTAGTATGTAACAAGTATCAAGTGAGATACTTCTGTGTATGGCAAAAAATGTTCTTGAAAGAGTCACTGGGGTGCTGCACGTTTCATCCCTCATCTCCATCTTAGGAGATTACTGAAATGTTCGCATCCCCTGAATATAAAGCTCTTTGGATTGCAGCGTCCAAACCAGGAATCAGCAGAAACCTCTGCTCCATTTATGAAAGCCAGTTCCCTTAGGACCTCACCAACAATTCATTCAGAAACAAATGTTCCCATCTGTCTACACAGGCTTAGAGTAGAGAGAACCCAAACTTCTGGACCTGAGGGTGGAATATTTCTTAAGACTAATTAAAGGAACAGGAATTGAAGAGTTTGTTAGGTTTTTTTTTTTTAACTTGCTGTAAGATCTTACCACAAACTTCACAGCCTAAAACAGCACCACTTATTACCTCACAGCTGACTCAGATGTCAGCTGGACTGGGATCTTAGCTGCAGGCTTCGGGGAAGAATCTGCTTCCAGATTCATTCCAGCTATTGGCAGAATTTGTCCCTCTTGACTGTAGGACTCAGCTCTCTAGTTTTCTGAGGCATGCCTCCTTTAAGCACTGCCCCCACCCCCACCTCCATCTTTTCCCCCAAAGCATCCCACTTCTAGGGACCAAGCAAAGGAAAGGCTATTTTCGCAGGCTTTTTCTTTTGGACCACCAGACAGCTCCCAAATCATGACACAGAGACTTATTATTAATTATGAATGCTTGGCCTTATCTGAGCTCTTATTTCAATCTGTTTCTCTTTGTTTTGCCTTGGGCACTCTCTCTCTCTCTCTCTCTCTCTCTCTCTCTCTCTCTCTCT